GCCAACAGAGAATTTGGTAAGCAAAGTAAGGAAATATATATAAAGGAGGCAAACTTGCCTACCTTGAAACCCGAGGATGGTAAAAGGTTGAGTTAAACATTTACAGAAAAAGAAATAAAAGAGGCGATTTCCTCACTAAAGGTCGATAAGGCACCTGGGCCAGACGGGTTCACAGCCCGATTTTTCAAACAGTTTGAGGAATCACTTAGTTCATTCTTTACAAAAGCCTGCAACTCAGCCACAGAGATTAGTCCATTCCCCGCACAAACAAACAATGGAGGCACACATCTGTGCTTCCGAAACCAGGGAAAGATCTATCAGAATGTGGTCATTTTCACCCAATCTCCCTTATAAATATAGACATGAAAATATACGCAAAAGTATTGGCCAATAGGCTAAAAAAGGTATTGCCCCAAATTATTCATCTAGACCAAACTGGATTTGTTCAGGGATGGGAGGCTAGAGATAGATTGATCAGGAAAAAACAAAAAAGGAAGTCTAAAGCGCTACTACCCTTGTAGGCAGGGGGTTTTCAGGCCTGGGGGGCTTTGATGATGGAGGTTTGTGTGTCATCCAAAACTCCGTTTAGTGTTTAAAGGCGAGAGAAAGAGAGAGGTAACAGATGAGGCATGAAATGTTGGTGTCAAGCAAACAAGAGAGTGTAGTAACTCACCATGAGGTTTGCTTGCGTGTGCAATCAACGGCGTCGGGGTCTCTGCGATGGGGAGTTGATTGTAGTTTCTCCTTTCCAATTCTCCGTGTTGAGTGCAGTGTGTGTGCTGACTGGACGGGCGACTGCAAGGGTGGTGGTGTCGTGGGTGCTGAGGGGGTCCCGTTGGGTTCGAGGATAGCTGGGTGGAGGCTGGTTGGATTCCTTCGTTGTGGAGCGCTGGTGGCGGCGGGTTGCGGCGTGTTTATGTCGAGGCGAGGCGTGCGCAGATGCCGCAATATCCGGTCTGGCCGAAGGTGGTGTGCAGGGCGTCCCAGACGTGGGACGGAAGTTCCTATCGTTATGGCAACGCGTTTCGAAGACGTAGTCTTCCTTGTCAAGCCAGGGTGAGGGGAAAAGTGATTTGGGCGGCAGATTTAAACGGACGGGCGGGGGGCGTGGTTATGACGTAGTTGTGACGTCACTTGGTAGGGGGTGTGTTCAAATTACATTCAGATTCTAGAGATAGATTGATAACCCTGGTAGTGCTAATAGAATTAGCACAAAGCAGAAATTTACCACTTTGCCTTCTGTCAATTGATGCTGAAAAAGCATTTGACAGAGTAAACTGGATATTCCTCAGAGAGTCTCTCTTGCAAGCGGGGGTGGAAGAGCTATTTATATCTAAGGTGATGGCATTATATGCACATCCCAGTGCTAAGGTCAGGGTTAATGGGGACTTGTCCGCCTCCTTCCCAATATTTAATGGCACTCGTCAAGGATGCCCTCTATCACCTCTACTATATGTTATAGTGATGGAACAACTAGCGGCCACTATTAGGAAGAACCCCTTGATCAAAGGTATACCCACTTTAACACAACAACATAAAATAGCATTGTATGCAGATGATCTACTCTTTTTTCTAACGTCCCCAATAACATCAATCCCTAATATTCTTAAAGATTATAGTACATATTTTACTATCCCATATATATCTATATAGTAAACTCCCAATTGTGCGGCACCCATAGGGATTGGTAGATGTCGGATAAATGTAGTTTCTGGTTGCTTGACAGTTACTATTAAATCTCAAGCAACTGCTGACACAGAAACACAAAATAGCCAGGAGAGGAGTTTGACAAAACCTAACTGAGGAAGCCCAAATCTTTTTGGGAGAATGTGCTGTGGACAGACTAAACAAAAATTACAGCTTTTTGGTAAAGCCCATCATTCTACTGTTTTCAGGAAAAAAATACAGTCCCTACAGTCAAACATGGTAGAGATTTACTGATATTTTGGGGTTGCTTTACTGCTTCAGGCACTGGAACTCACTTTTGTTTGCCAGCGGTTTAGACATTAATGGCTGTGTGTTGAGTTATTTTGAGGGGACAGCAAATGTACACTGATATACAAGCTGTACACTCACTACTTTACATTGTAGAAAAGTGTTATTTCTTCTGTGTCGTCACATGAAATTATATAATAACATATTTACAAAAATGTGAGGGGTCTACTCACCTCTGTGAGATACTGTAGCTCACCTTACTGTAAAAACCAAAATTAAAATACATTTGTATAGTCAGCGGCACTTCTTATACTATCTGTGTAGCAATAGATTTGTTGGTTTGTACCTTGGGTCTGGAGGTGGTCCATGCTGACCCTTTCCTGAAACCACCACTAGAGCTGTGCGATTTAAATCCATTTATCTTTTGTTTCTTTTTGCATCTCTGTTGCGTTCCTAGTGGCCATTCTATTGCCCGGGAGGTCTTGGAACAGATTTGAACCATCCACAGAGACTAGGTTGATTTGTGTCCATGACCTTCATTTTACCAAAAGTAGTGTTCTTTTTTTGCCCTTGCATGCTCCTCTTTTAGGGACTGTTTCTGAATGTCCCATGGTAAGGAATCTACAGAGCTTTGTCCCTCAATGAGAGAAATGGGATGTTTTCTGTACTTAAAGTGAAATATTTTATCTAATGAACTTTATTTAGTGTCAAATCCTCTTTATTGATATGTAGAAAAATGGTTAGCACACCATGAGTTCATTCAAGTCAAACATGTAGTACAAGCCAATTTATGCTAGCATTTAGAAATAGTTTATAGTGCAGGTCCAACTGGCACCACCCTTCAGGTTATCCATGGTGTGCCTTGCCATCCCCTGAAAACGTATGTTTAAAAGTACAGAGTAGAGTAATATGCAAAACTTAAATGCATTCTTCCAAACACTGAAGTCTAAATCAAGAGTTGTAGATGCCAGCAAAGCCACATGGATCTAAAGCTTGCTGTTTGTCACGCTGACATCTGCAGCTAGTGATGGAACATAACACGTGTCATCCGTAACCAAAGCAACGGTTATAAAGTACACAATACCAAAAAGCAAGAGGGCAGACCTGGCACAAACTCAATTCATGCATTAAAGGTAGCAGGTGCAAACTGGGGATGCAGAGGCGACGTGATTCCACTCCACTAAAGTGTAAAAAAAAAAGTCAAAATTTAAATGATTAACAATGTGTAAGGCTGGATACATAAGCCAGGTCATAGCGTTGAGAGAAGAAACATGTCAACAACAATGCCATGTTTAAACCCTCTAGGAATCAGCCTCTGTATGATCCCAGTAAGATTCTCTTTGGATTCTCTTTCTTTTTTTCCAGGACACTCAATGGAGTTCATGGATTTGGTGTGCTTCCTGTAGATTGCAAAATGCAGCATGCTTTGTTACAATTATAGTAACCTTTGATGTGGTAAACACATCCAGAGTGTGAATTTTGGTACACAACACATATAAATTTTGTATACTATAATTATTATTAAAAAAATTCTAAAAATAATAATAATAATCAAAACTTGCTGCTGTGGAAGAATCACACAGCAAAAATTTAAAAAGTGTGTCAGTCATTTAGGAACAGAAACTAAAAACTAGCTCAGTCATGAAGGGGTTAATAGAATTGCACATTTTAAAATATCAGAAAAAGTGATGCGCGTTGGGAGATCACAGGGTTCAGTTTAATATGTAAGATGGTCTTTAAGAATGGAATTATTATTTGTGTACTTAACTGTTGCTCTGGTTACAGATGACAGGTGTTTTGTGCCGTCACATGCTGATGGTGTCCCCACATACACACTGACGTGACCTATGTTTGCACACTTTGGATCTGAACAGCTTTGCTGTCATTCAACGCTCCCTATCCTGACTGCAGGGTTTCATAGTATAAGGGATAAGTTTGCATTTACTGCTCCATTATTGTACTTTTTAAACATTTTTCAGGGTTGGTTCTAGGTGAACCTGAGCTATGTGCTATTGGCAGATATTGGTATGAATTGGAATGTACCTCATGTTTGAATTTTGTGTAAAAAAGAACTGCAATAACATGATATATGTTTCAAAAAAGCCAACTCTATTAAGGTGACCCTGTATTTTCAGACTACCAGAGTAGACACAATTACCAAAGTGAACTGCATGCAAAATAAATGTATATTTATGTTGGGGTAAACAATGTTTTATTTTGAATGCAGTTTGACTTGTGTATGTTACTTAAAACAAAAAGGGACCTGTTTTCACACACATTTCATTGGTAGTCTCTGCTAGACAGATCTTTTGAAGTAAATTTATTTACTGGATTCATGGTGTGTTGACCATTATTCTACATAGTATTTTTGCAGGCATCACCAGCGATCATGCACCCAAGTGTTTGAGTTTAAGGTAAGTATGTGGGACAACATTATTTTTCATATAGGTTTTTATTGCGGTTTTCTTCCTCTGACCATGGTTTCCAGTACAGATGGTGATTTATTTTTTAGTTTTACAGGAACAGGAGGTTAGGGAAAATCTTCCACTGACGACACTTGTTCTGACATTGGAAATGTTGGGGATTTTTCCTTGCTTTAGAGAGATTTCCTCTTCCTTCCTTTTGTGTCTCCTGGATGGTATACATACATACAGAAAATTAAAAACCTGACAAAGTTTGTAACCATTTTGCAATCTAAAATAAAAAAAGTTTAGGCTGTAGTCAGCACTTGGGAGCTTAGGAAAGCATTATTTTTATACAGAGCTCCTTTCTTGACTCAACCTGTATTACTGGGGGTGGGTGACCAGAGGCTTTCTTTTAGTAGGCCCCAAGAGCACAGAAAAGCACCTCTAGGAAACCTTTTGGACAACTATCCTAGATTACAGTATGTAAAGAAACTGACATTTTTCACAAACGTGTGCATTGATGTAGGGTGGACAGAGCCATCAAATTAAGTTTTGTTTGTTCTTTGCTTTCAGTTCCTGCGTATATATTTGGTCCTACACTTAGCATTAAATCATATATGTATGTTTTCTTTAAGTGTAGCAATTTTTTTTTCCTTTTAGTCACCAGCAAAGAACGGATCTAAAAGTATACATAACAGCCATCATTCTCAGTCCCCGGCAGTAACTCCAAGTTACCAAATAGGAAGCAGTTCCAGCACGTCATCTTCTCTGGGAAATGGCCCAGGTACAAACAGCAATGGCACAGTATCGAACAGCAGTTGTACAACCAGTAATAGCAGCACCAACAACAAAAACAACCCTCCCAGTGGACCCACATCTGGTACACCTACTCCTTATGCACAGGCAGTGGCTCCTACCCCATCTAATGCAAATGCATCCCAGCCTAGACCTCCCAATGTCCAGCTCAACACAAGCAAACAAAATGGAGCAACAAGTAAGTGTAATAATTATGCTTTTCTTTATATGTAATTACCTTTTTCAATGACATTCTATACTTTGTTTAGATATTTAACTATAGTTTTAAAAGCTTCTCACTGTTACACTGGGGAACACAGAGATCACTATGTTGGAGTTATGTAACTTTTTTGATTACCTTTATCCATCAGGTATTGTAGTGAGCAGTTTAAAATATCATTATCCGGCTGCTATGGTTTACAAAAAATTTTTTTAGGAAAGCCATACCAATAAAATATATAAAGTGATTACTTTGCACTGCTGCTGTAGATGAAGCCTGATGTTGAAACTTGACTGTTGTGACCTTCCCCATCACATTTTCAAAAGTATTTGCAAAAATGTAAAAAAAACTATTTGGCCAGTTATAGGGATCTTCCACTTTCCCGATAACTAACTCCTCCTCTTTTTACTTGCCATATTATGATCAGCTGATGTGCATAATACTATAATAATAATAGCTTGTCATAATACTAATAGCTTGTCCTGTATTTTGACTTAACATACAGCAGTTTATTAAAATATTTAATGACATGCCTAGCAGTTCTATTGTATAATTCAAAAGCAAAAAATTAGGGTTATAGAACACAAACAAATGTTGCCGGTCCACTCTTGCCTACAGATATCATGGGGTGCATATCCAGCTCGCCACTTAAGTATTGTATTACAAACAACAAGATGACAGCACTCCAATGTGTAATGTAGTCATCTGTATACCATAAAAACAGGGCAAAACAGGCAGGTAAGATTTCTTAACACTTTTACCCTCCAATGTTAAATGCATTTTTTTATCATAAAAACGGGGTACAACAGGTGAGTAAGATCTCCAACATGTTTCTTGCTACACAGCACTTAATCATGGAGTGATTGAGCCCTGTGTAGCATGAAGCATGTAAGGATCTTGCCCGCCTGTTGTGCACTGTTGACATTGGAGTGCCAGCATCCTGTTTGTAATACATTTGGGTTATAGAATGTTTTTCACCCATTCAGCACCAGTTGCCAAGATACATGCATCTTTTGTCGCTGATAATGTCCATATATTTCGTTTAACTTCAAGGGCCTGTTCAAACCATCGCGTTGCAGAATCACAGCATGTGCTAATGCACCAAGCTACTTGTGGTCCCATTCATTTCTCATCCACTAAATCATATGCACAGTACTTTATGAAGTCCTTGATGTGGGGCACCTTTTGCTGCAATCCATTCACTTTTAATGGGAGCCCAATACATCTACAGTGTTCCAAAATGAATAGATCACAGTAATGAAACGTGCTGCAATGCATGATAATTTGTGCTGCAACACATGCATTATTAAAACAAATTCAGGTGTAAATGAGCCCTAATACAGTAACCCAGTCTGCTGTGCACAAGCCAGTATATATACGCTCTCAGTCCAGGCTAGACTATGAGGGTCCATTCGCACCAGTAGCGTGCACTTGGGAGCTTAGGAAAGTATCCTATTCAGTTCCTTTCTTGACTCACCCTGTATTACTGGGGGTGGGTGACAAGAAGCTTTCTTGTAGTATGACCCAAGAGCACAATAAAGCACAGCTAAGAAATCTTTTAGACAACTATTCTAGATTATATAATGAAACTGACATTTTACCAACCCTGTGCATGGATGTAAACTGGACAGAACCATCAAATCAAATTTTCTCTGTTATTTTCTTTCAGTTTCTGCATACAACTGGTCCTACATTTTGTATTAAATCATATATGTATGATTTCTTGGCACTTTTTTCCCCCCTTAGTCACCAGCAAGGAACAGCGTGGCTACTGGTATGCGCCTTTAGAAAGTGGTGCGGTACAATCATTTCAGCACATCACACTGTTTTTACTTTTTTTATTCTTTACTTTATTGCAGCAAGCAGGGTTTATGTTTATGCACCCCACCGAAAAAGCACAGTTGTTAAAAGTATAACAAAACTGGTTACTGTGAGCAGCGGCTCAGTTTTTTGTTTCTTTTTTGCCTTACCTTTTATAAATCAACCCCTGTTCAGTCTAATGGACTGTTGTTTGCAGTAACTCTATTCGTTTTCACCGCACTTCAAATATATCCACTCCCAGGGCGGAACTGGAAATTGGCCATGCCCTTCTCCTTCAGGTTAAAATAGTTTGCTTAATGAGCAGCTCCTCTTTTGGACTGCCAGTGTGTTCAGGGTCTGCACATGTTAGCTGCATAAAATACAGCTGGGAAAAATGTAACCTCAACTCTTTTGTGGGGGAAAATTAAATCTTGCCCCTTACAATGTTTACATTTCTTCCCAGGTTACAGCTCCGTAGTAGCAGAAAACGCCACAGATTCTGCACTTAGTAGTAGCAGTCAATCACAATCAAGCCAGTCTGTGATTCACAACCCACCAACAAGCACTGCGTGAGTACAATGAGAAGTCACTAGTCATCAGTTTCACCCTGTGTGTCCAAGTCCATGATCACTGAGTTTGTAGCGGTGGTAAAAATTGAACCAGAAGTGTTTCTGCTTGTCTAGACTAAGAACTTTATTTTGCACTTGCATTGTATTGCTGTGTGTGTAATATATGTGTAGATCTGTTCATGAATATTTCATATGTGTACATACGCACAATTTATAATTTTATACACTTTATTAGGGAACATAGATTGAAAAAAGACACAAGTCCATCAAGTTCAACCTAGAGAGAAGAGGAAAAAAATAAAGAAAAGTAAAACCTAACCTAAAACAACGCAATACCCACAGTTGAACCTAGAGGAAGGAACCCGCCCCTCTCCCTCTATAAAGCTTGGTTCAGTTTGCGCCAACGGGGGAAAAAAATCCTTCCTGATCCCATAAGGCAATCGGATATTCCCTGGATCAAATATCTCTGGTGTTAATTTTACTTATAAGAAGCTAATATCTAGTAATATTCTGTACATATCTAGTAATATTCTGTACAATTTATTTGTGTTGAAAATGTGCTTCATACGAATGCAGATTTTGTATTCTTATTTGTTAGATCTTATATTTTGTGAAGCATTATAATGGCCTTCACATAGATACTGTGTTTTCCATGATGAGATTCAAATTTTTTTTTTTGTTTTTTTCTTGAAGACTGCACAGCAGACGATGGTTAATCAAATCTAGGTCTCTCTACAGGTGTAGCAAACAGGGCTGGACTGGGAAATTAAAACAAGCTGTAATGTAGCCAGTAGTTATCCCTAGCAGTGCACCGAAATGAAAATTTAAAAAACAAAACCAAAATTAAAAAAAAGTCAGGCCGAAACCCAAAATGTTTTTTATTTTAACTTTTTTTCAATTTTTTTTTATATTTTCATTTTATTTATTTTCTGTAAACTTTTTTTTTTAAATGTATTATTTTTGCCAGTTCTAGACTCCTGGAAAGGCAAGGAAGCCCAGGGGGCCCTCAAGGGCCTGTTCACACGACGTCCGTTTTCTGTGCTGACCTGATCCGTACGCTCCTGCACTAAAAATGCATCCCAATGTGTTTTATGGGCTACAGTTCTCACGTGCGCAGTCCGTTCAGGTTACGACAGAAAAAATACTGCATGTCACATTTTGCATGATCAGGATACGAACCGGAAACGCAAAAAAAAATAATATATATATTTTTTTTAACTGGTACGCATCAAAAAACGCTGCAAAAATGCACTGCATCAGTAGCACCGTGTCTGCAGATCCGCACCTGATCAGAACCTGATATGTGAACAGGCCCTAAATGCACTTATGTATAAAGATGATTGGGGTGACTTTAATACATGTAATAAAAGTGATTTGGACAGCAGAAAAGCTTGCAGATAGAAACTAAAACAAGTCTAGGGCTGCTATCACCATGACTGTTTAAACCTTTTTGGTTTCCATGTACATCACATTCTTGGAATTCAAAGCATTAAAATTACAATCAGCACTCCCATTAAGATCTACTTTTAACATCCCCCATACTAGAGCTAAAACTTGCTTTAACCCTTTCACAGCCAGAGCCGGTTTTCCTTTTTGGTTTTTTTAAAGATTAAAATGCACATTTTAGGCACTCCTGATATGATATATTGTGATAATAGCTCAACTGTTTATCGAACCCAAATTTTCAATTTAAGATACTCAAGTTAATTTTAGTGGACAGAAACACAATTTTTCAGAAAAATATAAAGAATGCCCAAAATGCCAAGCTTCAAAATTATGTGTGCCCGTGAAATGGCAAAAAGGTACATTTAATAGATGGCTATTTCACCTTTGCAGTCCATTGAAGCTGATCAGAGACAGATCGAGCTTGATCAGCTTCTTCCATCCTCTATGGCTGGGGAATGACTGCTTATAAACCAGTAGTGACAAAATCATCATCGCTTTTGGGTTCAATCAGCGGGGAGGAGATCAGCGATTGTTCGCTGGTCTCTCTACCTGCTGACACCCACTATGCCGGACCTGCAATGGAGGTAGCAAAGCCTAGGTAGCAAGGGGGTGGGGTTAAATGTGTGCACTGGCCTGTGGAAGCGTTCACATCCGACAGTGAGATTTACACAAGTAAACAGCTGCCGGGAGTCTGCTTTCAGAGGCCGGCTGCTGGCGGCGTATGGCATATGTCAGCGGCATCAAAAGGGTTAAAGGTTTCAACATAGCTGCTTGATGCTTGCAAAAGTTTACTGCAATTATTGCACTTTCAAATACTAAAGCCCATATTAACAACTCCTTAGGAATCAGACTCTCTATATTAAAGTGGAACTTCATGGGGAAAAAAATCTTTTTTTTTTTATTTTGATTAGTCCAGCTAAGTTACCTTAGCTGGACTTGCCTTAGCTGTATTCATGCCAGATTCTGTTAGAGCAGCAGAGCAGGAAGAACAGAGCTATGTTCTGGTGCTGGTACGGTGAATGGTAGTATAGTTTAAAATCACTTTCCTCCCACCTCATCATTCATAAAACACCTTGTATTCTTTTTACGGTCCTTTCATTCATCTGCCCCTCCTCTCCTCTTGTAAGCTGTGTTTTCCTTCACTGAGCAAATGCCAGAACCAAAAGAAGATCACAGCTTACACTAATATCGGGCATGAATATAACTAAGGTTTGTAGTATTGCCAGCAGCCATTATATATATATCCAGCATTAAAGGTACTAATCAATAGTCGGAAAATACACTTTGTTTTTTAAATTCTACTTTGAAACATTTTATCCAAAAACAATCAAGTTTTAAATGTTAAGATTCTGCCATCTTCCGCTTTAAAATGTAAACCTGATTGGCTGCCCCCCGAGGATCTCTCACACTCTCTGTGGAGAAAATGTAACTAACATTAATTGTATAAAACTCCTGATTTGCAAATACAGTACTCAAAAAATCTAGAGCGGGGTATCTCATACATAGCCTGAATTCTGCAGAACGATATAATCTCTAATTGATGCAGAAATCCTTTAACCAGCCTCTATCCAGATTTGAATCCTATTGGGTTCTTCAAACCCAGGAGAGAAGGAGGTTTTTTTGATAATTGTTGCCAAAGGCATGTGTATAGAAGCTCAGTTCCTCCAATATCTAACCCCATTTAAATCTTAATGTCTAACTATTGGATTGATATGTGTACGTTGTGAAGGTAGAGTCCAAAGAAGGGTCTCTGTACCTGTATGGTTGATTTACTTCTGCTTCTGTATTTACTCACAAAGGGGCAACCGAACCAGTGAAATAATGGATTTGTAGAGCACAGATTATATCCTGTGTACCAATTCCCCCATAGTAGCCTGTATGGTCCGTTAGTAAGAAAGTAAACAGCCACCATTTTGGTCACTTTT